CATGAAAATAGTAACTAATAGAGAGCAGTAGTGGTTATGTTAATACCCAGCAAAATAAACTTTAAATTTTTAAGTTTGCAATGAACAAAGTTCTCTACATATCTTAAGATTCAACACAGTAAGAATATATCATGATTATAATCACTTACAACTAACAGATTATACAAATACATAAAGCAAAACTGACAGAATTGTCAGAGACAATTAATGGTGGTGGAAACTTCAAAACCCTGTTCTCAGTGTTGGTTAGGACAACTAGTCAGAAGATATTTAAGAAAGTAGAGATTTACATGACCTGATAAAATGAGTCCTTTCAAAATTCTACTCAATGATAACACTATACACATTCTCCTCAAGTACACATTGGATATTTCCAAGGACAGATTGTATCTTAGTACATTTATAAAGAAAGATAGCATGCAAATTGTCTTCCTTGATAACAATGCAATGTGTTTAGAAATCAGTAAAAGTAAAACTGAAAAATTCAGGAATTTGTGGAAATTAAACAACACACTTACACTACTAGAGAATCAAAATAACAAAGTGAATTTAAAAAATACCTAAGGATAAATGAAAATGAAATCACTGTATATCAAAGCATTTAGGCAGAGAAAAACTAGTGGCAAGGGGAAATTTTCTGCATATAAGTGTGTGCATTAAAAGGTAAAAAATACATACACAAGATAGTTAAGATCCCTGTGTAGCATTTCTTTGTTCTTTTTATTTATTTTTTAATTTACAGACGATAGAACCAAGTAAAATAAAACAGAATAATACCAATCAACCAAACCAGTGTAAGTGATACAAGAGTTCAAAATATTATGAAATCAACAATAGCTAACATTATGCCTCTTGTTGTCCTGAAAATTGCTGCCCATACCCTCAGACATAGTGAAAATCAAATAAAACAGAACAACAAAAGCAAAACAATGAATGCAGTAAAAGACTTCAAAACAAGACAATAGTAAATCCAAACTGGCTACCACAATATATCTTGTTATCTTTGAAATAGTTGCTATTCCCCTTGGGCATGACAAAATTAAACAAAACAGGGCTGGGGATTTAGCATAGTGGCATAAGTGCCTGCCTACAAAGCACAAGTTGAGTTCCATCACCACCACCAGAAAAAAATTCAACACTACAAAGAACAAAACCCAACATTTGAAAATCAATACATGTAAATATTACTAACATAAGAACTGATTATCAGTTCAGTCGATAAAGAAAAAATTCAATAAATTCAATATTATTTCATGATGAAGTCTCCCCATAAACTAGAAACAGAAGAATCATTCTTAATCTAATAGTGACAAGCAGAGAAAAAAGTTACTGTACATAATTTTTAAATTTAAGTTTACAGGTACAATTTAAATATATACAAAGAGTATATTCATTACAGAGAATTTGTATCTGTACATGATATATCTTGATTCTTCTTTTATTTTGAACTGGGACAAATTAAAAACTTATTTCCTATGTTGGAGTTCCAGCCTCTAGAAATAAATTTCTATTCTTTAGAAATTACCTGTGGGATTTTGTTATAGTAGCACAAAATAGTCTAAGACAAAGAAAAGTTTAGCTCTCAAGAAAGTATTCTAAAATTTATATGTGAATGCAAGACTACACTAACAAGAACAAATTTAGAAAATCAGAAACATTCAGAGGATTCATAGAACTCAACTCAGTTTCAAGACTTATTGTAAAGCTATGATAATCAAAATAATATGGAATTGGCAAAAGGTAGACAGATATGTAAATGGATCAGAATGAGTACACAGAAACTGACCTCCGTAAGTCGATGACTTACCTTTGTGTATTAAAAAAATCCAAGGTAAAAAGAATTGCCTTTTGAAAATGTAATACTGGAAAAATTTAACATTAATATACAAAAAGGAGAAGAATACAAACTTTGTGATATAAAAAGTATCAAAATGAATAATTAACTGTAAATGTATATCTGTAAAAATTTAAGAAAGAAGTATAAAAGAAAACATGCACAAATAGTGGTTAGGTAAAAAGGTCTTAGACATGACACTTAAAGAACTATCCATAATTTTGTTTTAAAATAGTAAGTTGAACTTTAATAAAATTAAAAACCTGTTATGTGGAAGAGACCATGAAAAGAAAGAAAAAAACTCAAATTTCTAGAAAATGTTTATGTATTAAAATTCCAAAAAAGGATTTTCAAAACTCCTTAATTCAAGAATAAAAAAAATACAAGAAAAAAATAGAAAGAAAAAAGAAAGTCAAAAAATACTTGAATAGAATCTTCATTAAAGAGGATATGTGGGTGCCAAATAAGCATGTGAAAGATATCCAAAATCATTGTGAAAATTAAGACCTGTGTTCATATGAAAAAACTGGGGCATAAGTCAGCAAATTAGAGAATTTAAACAAAGTAGGCAGATTCTTGGAAAAATGTGAACTACCAAAACTGACTCAAGAAGAACCACAAAGTCTGAGTAGATCTACATTAATAGAAATTGCATTAATAGTCAGAAACTTGTCCTGAAGAATGCACTGGAAATTTTCATTAAACATCTAAAGAAGGATTAAAATCAGTGTTTTACACAATCTCCTCAGAATAGGAAAGAGAGGAACCATTTCTTAGTGTATTCTATGAGAACAGTAGTACCCTTATGCTATTAGGACAGGAGTGTCATGACAAAGAAAACAAACACGGATCAATATCTCTTATGAACACAGATGTTTTTTGGATGTGATTTGTCGCCATCAAAACTCATGTTGACATTTGATTCTTATACATCCATATGGAAAGGTGGTGGGAATTTAAAGAAATGATTTGCCATGCGATCTCTATGCTGAAGAACAGATTAATGTCTCTCCATTCATGATCTTTTCTAAATCCTTTCTAAATCTCAGATTGAGCAGGCCATGTGGCAGCCCTGCAGGTGTGTTCAGTTTTCAGTTTCAATAGCTCCCAACAAAATGCCAATTCACTCTGGTGCCGTGAAACACAAGGACGTAACACATATCTACAGTGTTTAACCAAAAGGTATAATACACATTTTTCTCAGAAGTGCATGAAAGTTTCTGGTATAAACATCTTTGACCATAAAACACAGTGAAATCAACACAAATAAACTGAAAAAAACACCCTGCATGTTAATGGATCACACTTGAATAAAAGCAGAATTTAACAACACAGTTAACCACAAATATGAATCAACATATGAAGATTAAATGCTGCACTCTTGAATAATCAAGTAGTCCAAAAAAATGTCAAGGAAAAAACTTGAAAATTCCCACAATCAAATGACAATGGGAACACAACATTCCAAGCTTAAGGGACACAAGGAATACCACTGAAAAAGAGAATTTCATAACTGTTAAGGTGCACACTGAATAAACAGATAATCCAAATAGATAACATACAATTTAAGGCCCTGAACACAAGCACCCTCCTAATTCAACACTAGTAAAAGAAGGAAATTAGAAATCTTAAAATGAATATCAATAAAAATGAGATTAAATAAGGATTTTACCAGTAAATCATGTAAGAACCTAATGTAATCCCAATATCAAATATTGTAATCCAAGTATTGTAATCCTTTTCCCAGGCTTCCTCTCAATCTAAAAGGTTATATTTGTAATCCTATTCAGACACTGGCATCCTGGCAAGTTAGTTCAATCAACCACTTCCAATGCAAACCACAGCAAGAGTGATGACACCAACACATATGCAAAGATAAGGGCAGTCAAAGGGTCCTAAATCCAACTCAAGTGAGGATTTGGAAAGGCCTTGATTCAAGGCCTCTCCCAGTACTTATTATCTTATGAGGAAGGGTAGATGAAAAAAACACCTTTGCAATATGCAAGATGATAGGCAGAAAGATCACAGTCTGAATAACTTAATGGGGATAGCATATGAATGAACTAAGGAGGCTGCTGGTTCAGTTTCTGATACATAAACATTTATACCCCAGGACCCATAGTCTCTTACTTTGAGGCTAGCACCCAATTGACATTCCTGGAACTGAGTGGCTCTGCCATCCTGTAGTGCTCAGATCTTTTATAGAGAGCACTATGTGAGAGAGCAGGACACTGTGAGACAGACTTCAAAGATTACACATCAGTTCAGCTGTCCTAATTTGCACTGCTGAAAGGCAATTGAAGAACGAAGGCAATACCATTGCCAGCTCTGTACATAGCTGTATGTGGAAATAAGACTTGATTTAACTAATGTTGTGATTGTTCTGTGCTCAAGGCGGTGCATTCATGTAGTCTTCTACAAGATCCAATGTCAAACTTTTTCCAAGATCTTTTTTAATTGGAAAGAAAGGACACTGTCAAATTCACTATGATAGGTAGGATTACCTGATATGCTAATCTTGACACTTATACTGACCAATAAATCTAATCCTAAACTTAAATCTAAAGCTAAAGTTTGACCTTGTCCCTAAAGCATAAAGCTAAACCTCATCATTATTCTTAACTTAACCTGAAACCTAAACTAACACTAACTCTAACAAACCCAACTGTAATATTAACTCTAAGCATATGGGGAAAGAAAACCATTAAACTAATTATTAAACTCACCTTACAATTAACCCTGAATCTAACTCTAAATCCTTACCCTAAATCCTAAATACAATCTAAACCTCATCCTAACCGTAGTCCTCATCATAACCCTTATGCTCCCTTTAATCCCTAGACCTACCACTCACACTCATGCTAAACCTAAACCTCAAACACATTTGCAATCTCTTACCCCAAAATTTACTCCTAATCCCAACACTTAACACTAACCCCAATCTCAACACCAACACTGACTGAAATTATACACAAATCCCAAGGACAACCTCAACCCTAAATCTTGCCCTAACCTGAAGCCAGATCTAAAATAGACTCAAACCCTAGCAGGTTGGGAAGGGTCATCCAGCATTTGAGGGGACATGGGAGAGGCAGGTAGGGGAGGGGAACATGAGGAAGTGACCTCACTTCCTTGACAACGCGCCTAACAGAACCTAGAACTCTCAAGGCTGGTTGGCTACATTTACTGGTAGAGAGACTCAACAACCAGGAGGATGTTTTCTTGCTGTTTCCCAAAACGCGAAGGCTCAGGCCACAAGAGTTGGTGGAAACAGGGTCTTATTCGAAGGCTGAGAGGCTCAGGCAGTCGTCAGGCCCAGAGCCTGGAGCACACTGACCCAAGAACCCCCAAGATGACACAGGTGAGCCCCCAACAGGTCAGAGTCAGCCAGGAGAGCCCAGAACCCTGCCTGCCACTGTGGTGTGTGGGGCAGCATGCGAGAGTGAGTGTGAAACCAGGGGACGCGTTTGGCAGCTGATAGCCTGGGGGCTGAGCTCTTTAGAGCTGCTAGTGTACCCAAGCTTGAACTCTCCCTTCGCGCTGCCACCTCAGGACCCAAAGAAGTCCAGCCCAAAGCTGGAGGATGCTGGCAAGGTGGGGAGCATGGAGCCAGACATGCTGAAGAAGCTGGTGTTCAACCTGGTGCTTGCCCATCAGCGCGGGGACCCCTTCTTCGTGCCTGCCTTCCTGGCCATCTACAGGAGGTTCGCCACCACGCGGCAGGTTCTGGATCTGCTGTTCCTCAGGTGTGCCCCACCTCCAAGTCAGGGGGCCCGGGGAACCTTGGGAGCTCTTGGGGATGAACCCCCTGAAACGTTTTGCACCCTAATATTCCTGAGGAAAATGCTTTACTCAGAGGACTCCTGTTCATAAGGCGCATCCAAGACCAAATAGGCAGGACCCCAGAACAGTAAACCTAGGTCGGGCTCTGGGTAGGAGATGGGGTCCTGGAGCTGTAGGGTTTCCCCAATCCACCCCTTGAAGGAACTGTTTAGATGGAACTTCATTTTCCTTTGTTCCTGCCTAGAGGAACACAGAGCGGGGACCTTTAAGGGAGTCCCAGGACCCAGGTGCCCTCTTGATATGTGGGCACAACTGGCTAGGCTCACCCACAGCACAGATGTCTACACAGCACCTACTGTGTATGGGCACCTTTCCTGAGGCTTCTCTGTCGTTGAGGGAGCAGCGCAGAGGGACCTCTCAGGCTTCCCAGCCTCTTTTGCCATCGCACAGTCTTATGCTCCCCTAGACCTCCTGGGAGGCCAGGACAATGAGTGCTCAAAGGTCACACCCTCCTGGCTCTTCTAGGTACAACTTCTTCCTCCCAGGCTCTGAGCAGGACCAGCAGAACAAGAGGTGAGAGGCCATTGGGCTAAGAGGGATGGAAGAATCCTGTCTCCAAAGTGGGGTGCAGAGGAACTGGGCTGTGGGCGGGCTGAGAAAAACCGGGGTCCCTCAATGTTCATTGATTCCCATCAGAGGGCTTGGATCTGAGGCTGGGCCTCCAGGTGGAGAAAAACAGACAGTTATGCTTAGGGTTTTGTGCATGAAGGAGGCCCCCATGTTTGGTCTGGGCCCAGAGCAGGTCTTCATGAGGATGCATCTGTGTGCAGAGCAGGTCCCTGTGAGGATACACCTTCATGCAGCCCATTCTCAACCCAGAGAACCCTCGGCATGCAGGATGGAGGCTGCCCAGGAGGTGTGGGGCACAGAAGACTCACACATGTTCTCTACACCTCTGCCCTCTATGCCCAGCTTCTGGCTGGCAGGGTGGGCTCTGGCGAGCAGTGCTCCCATCAGGCTCCATGACAGGGGCCTAGGGCAGGGGAGAGACCAGTCCCCTGACTCTCCTGCCCTCCTACTCCTAGTGCTCTGAGCTCCATCCTGGAGACCTGGCTTCTCCAGTACCCAGGAGACTTTTGCCAGCACCCAGACATGGACAACCTCAAGCAGCTCGTGGCCTATGCACTCCTGAACCTTCCAGACTCAGACATCATCCTGCAAGTGTGCAGACTTTAGGCCCAATTTAGAGTCCACTAAGAGGGATCCCTTCCCAGAGGTGACTAGGAGGCTGGGGTTAGTGACTGTGGGTGGTGGTGGGAGTGTAGCAAAGGTCATGGTGGTGCCACCAGGAGGAATTTCCAGAGGCTGCTGCTGGCCAGGAGCAAAGGAAGAGGATGGGACCACAGATGGGGCTGGACAAGGGTTGGGACGGGTCTTGCTGTGGGGTCAGTGCCTGGGCCTTCTCTGGCAGGAAGTGGGCCACTGTGCCTTGGGAAAGGCACCAAGAAGGGCGGTCTCCCAGGAATTTTCTTTCCTGTTGCTCTCCTGCCACCTCTAGGGCCACAACTGTTTCCACAGCAGCAACCATTGAAACGTGCAGGAGTGGAGCTCTGGGTGGATGGGTGAACAGAGCTGGACAGGCAGAAAATGGCCAGCCTGACCTGACTCTCCCTCTCTCTCCCCTCTAGTGGCTGATCAGTGGACTGCAGGACAATTTAGACAACCTCACCTTGCAGGACTTCAATTGCACGTCTGCCTCCCTCCCCTGGAAATGTTGCCTTTTTTTTTTTTTTTCCTGGTTTCATTTATCTGTAGTTATTTTCTGTTAAACATTAATAAAATTTTATGGACTGTCCCTCTATTTATAATAGGACTGTCCCTCTATTTAAATGCACATCTAGTGGAGCTAAGTCCTCACACTGTGCTGTGCTCCCAGAGGCTCTCTCCAGTAGCAGCCCAGAACCCCTGGCACAGCCCCTGGTCTGTGGGGAGGACTCACCACACCTGCTGAAGGAAGGGACTGAGGAAGTCCCCAGGTGATGGGGACTCTTGAGTGCTGACCGCCAGGGCCCTGCCCACCTGGCATAGCGTGGCTCTGCAGCTGGCAAGCAGCACCCTGTTTCCTTGCAGAGGCCCTTCCTTGAGTGTCATTTTCCTGGCCTGTGACATACACAGCAGTACTCTCCCTTGCCTGAATGATGACACAGCAAAGGCCTGGCATGTTGAGCTCCTTAAGGCCCTGAGGCCCAGCTGGGCCCACTCCCAGTGTGCAGTGCACACAGGCAAACTGGAGGAGGACAGAAAGCACATGTTTAGAAGGGATTTGATTGTACAGAAGAGGTGCAGAGCCTCGGCTGTGTTCTGAGTTGACCATGGAGCCCCTCCACATGTGGAAGCAGGCTTGTAGCTGGCAGAGGGGGTCTGTGGAACTTCGTTGAGAGGTGTGCAGGGAGGGTCCAGGAGTAAACCCACCGATGTGACCACTTACGCGACACCCTGGCAACACAATGCTGAGGCTCACCACTAAAACTTTGCCCAGTTACCTGAAGACCTGGGCAAGATCCCACCTCACTGAGACAGGGGGACCTAGGGAGGAGCAGCAGCAGGACCCAGGACAGGTGTGATCAAACCATTCCCTGGGTGCATTGAGCCAATTGTCTCCCTGTTCAGCAGCACCCTGTGTTTCCCCAGGCGGCCAGGGGACCTCTGAGTCACAGGCACAGAAGTGGTGCAGGAAATGAGACACTGTTTCCAAGGACAATCTAGAAGAACACTGGGCTTCACCAGCTCCTAGTACACCTAAAACTCCCGACCTCTAGCAGGGCAGTGCCTACGTGGAAGCTCTTACTGGGGTGTTACGGGAGCAGCTGCCTGTGGACTGCTGTTGCTGAGGTCGCTTTTGCTAAGAGCCCTGTCCTTTCCCTGTGCCTCCTGAACCTTGATGGGTGACTGAAATGGA